TCAAAAACATCACTTGTATCCTCCTCATAGGGTTTACAATGTTGATGAAACTGGACTTATGACTGTCCAGTCAAAGTTTTCAAAGGTTTTTGCTCTTAAAGGGCGACGGCAAGACGGATCCCTTATATCTGCAGATAGATGTGTTCTCAGCACATTTGTAATTTCTATGTCAGCTGGGTGAGATTTTAGTCCTCCTTTTATCATCTTCACTAGACAGCGGATGAAAGTATAACTTCAAGACGGCGCTCCACCAGGAACAGTTTTTGTTTGTCATCCTTTAGGGCGGATGCAAACTGAGATTTTTACATAATGGTTTGACCATTTCCTAAAGTTTGGGAAGCCATCCGAAGAGTTATGCTCATACTTGAGAGACATTCCACCCATACAAAAAATCTAGATTTTATTGAAAGGGCTAGAGAAAATTACACAACTGTACTTCGCATTCCCCCCCATTGTAGTCATAAGCTGCAGCCACTCGATATTTCTTTTATGGGGCCCTTCAATATTATGTCCAAGCGATCGAAAGATTCTTCTAATCCTGGTAGATTAGTGACACAGTATCAGGTATCTAAACTTCTTGGAGAGACATTTCCATTTGCAGCTACTCCAACAAACTATTGAGGTAAATAGGTTTGGAAAATGTGGCAAACAGACAGAAGTTTACTGACGCGGGTTTTGCTGCAGCCATGACCACAGAAATTTCCGTGCAAGACTCTATCTCTCTTCAAGAAGCTGAAAATCAAGAACTGGATGTTGAATATCAAGAGGAAACTTCTGCTGTGGTACAAGGAAAAGATTTATCAGATTCATAACAAAATATTCCTCGACGTTAAGAGACATCACTTTCAAGTAAAGAGAACCCGCCTTCTGGAGCCATAGATTTCCGACCAGCAACCTCTGCATCCTATGTTTTTCAGTGACCACAGACATAATATTACTGTAGAATCTTTAGATCCAAACTCCACATTACTTCTAATCTCTAAAGACTCGAAAAGCCAGGTACTTCAACATTCCAATCCAGTCCGCTGCCTTATTTCAGTACTTCATGTGATTTAATCAGCAACTCCAAGGGAAAGGAGCCCTATACTTTTGCTGTAAGCCCACAACATACCCCAACCCCTAATGCAATTATTAAACGAGAAAATAAGCGAAAAAAATGAACAGCTGCAGTTTTGACCTCAAGCCCTTTCAGGATGGAACTAGTAGCCGCAAAAGCAGAAATAGAAGAAAAGGAAAGGCTTAAGAAAATAAAGCTGGAACTGAAAAAAGGAAAGCAGAGTAACAAGAGGAATGAAGGAAGCAAAGAAAAATTTAAAGGAAAGCAGAAAACGAAATCAAAATCAGCGAAGCATGCTTTATTTAATGACTCGAACAGTGACGTGAGTGATACTGATTTCCGTTTCTGCGAGGACTTATATTCCAAGTCAAGGGGAAATAAAGTATGGATACAGTGTTCGGGCTGGTTACGGTCGGTATGAAGAAGAAGACAATGACTTTATTTGTGACGTTTGTAAATAAACGGTGTAAAACTTTCTTTTTCTACGATGGCAATAATGTTTTTATTTTGAAAATACACTTTCATTTAGCATACAAGTTCAGTTAAAATTTTGTATTTTACATCGGGCCCAGTGGCCATCTTATGGCCAGTTAGTAGGGTAAACAATATATATCTAGAAAATGTACTGAGATAAAGTGAAAATTAAAATTGCCTTATGTGGCTAAGTATATATAATATCGTATGTTAATATATAGTGTATTTCTTATGTATTTTCTTCAAGATAAAAAAAATATATTCCATAGCATGGCCACTTTGACCCCTTTTCCCTACCTAATTATAAGGTACCAAAAAGACTTGCTGACAGACCCAAGAAAATTGGTCAAATAACACACTTTGAAAATGTTGGTTATGTATTACTTAAATACTCTTAAAAGGGGTGTACCTAAAGAACCTTTGGAAAGGGAAATTGTGATTTGACATTTAGTTACTATTGTAAAAACAGTTTGTACTTATGAATTTAATACTTTTTATACATTTTTTTAGTTGTTCTTTTGTTATCAAGATGCTAAATGAACATCATAAAGTCTTTTCTAACTTCCCTGTATAAATAACATTTATTTTTTACAAAAATAATCTATACACAATTAAACTCATACCCTCATAGAGGATATCGTGATAATTATTTCTTTAACAATCCTTATTCACAAATTTCTCCACTATCTACATTTTTAATCAATAATATACAGGACGATCTATTAAGAATCACATTTGTTTCTAGAATAAAATCATTGGTCTAGTGATTAAAATATTGTAAAGTAGACAGTGGTTATTGCAAATATATACTTTGTAAGACTCTTTTATTTTTGTATTTTCATAATAAGTATTGGTAATGTTCACAAAAATAACTGAAGCAAAAGATTTTTGAATTGTTGCTATTACTTGTACCATCCTGTATATTAAGACTTATTATTATTTGACAATCTTTAAAAATCACCAAGTATACAGTGACCAAAAATGTATGTACAACAAAAAACTCACATTTAAGTCTATACTGGATACCTAAACCTGGACATTATCCAGTGGGTGACAGCTCGCATCAAAAGAAGTCATCTGAACCATACAAGTATAAAGAAAAAAATGTATGATTATTTAGTATAATATTTACACAAATAAAAGATCACAATTTATGATGTTACTGGTGTAGAACAAACAACGCGCGACGGTTTAAAGTTTTTTCGCATATAACCAACTGCATAGAAAACAAAAAAACAATAATTTACATTAAGCCGTACTGAATAACCTATACAGGGTGTCCCATAATTAATTGGACATTAGCTAATGGGTGATAGCCGACATTAAAATAAAGCGTTTGAGCTCAAATTGCTTAGAAAAAATGTTGCTAGTTTTCGTTCTACAGGGAGATTCATTAATATTTTTTTTATATTATTTTTATGGATATATTGAAAACTATTCAACCGATTTAAGAGAAATTTGGTATCTTGCTATTATTTAGTATGCTTCATAAGAAAATGATATTAGTTTTACCATTGACACTAGGTGGCGCCACCTACTGTAACATTGGTTCATTAATGGGGCCATAATTTTTTTGTCCGCCCTGTATAAACATTCTAGGAAAAAAAAACATGAAATAACATTCAATTCTACACAAAAAAGGTATTCTTGTTTTAAATCAAAAAAGTACACCGTTTTCGAAATAAACGTATTTTGTTAATGATGCATGTCTCTATTTTTAAGTTTTTTTATAAACAACTTAAGATAAAGGAAAAATGCTACGTCATAGTGAATTTTCTAATGTAGAAATGCGCTATATGATCTGTTTGTATGCCCAGAAAAATTTTTGTTCTCGTAAAGTAGCTGAACTCTATTTCGAACTTTATCCCAATAGAAGGCAACCAAACCACAAAACTATTAGATCATTGTTCGACAGATTAGGCGAAACAGGGTCATTTCATCCCAAAAACAGGAATGCTGGAAGACCGAGAGTAATTGATGCGGATATGGAGGATGAAATTGTTGTGCGTGTTGCAGAAGATCCAGAAACCAGTACAAGGCTTGTTTCTGCGGCCACTGGTATAAGCAAATCTACGGTGTCAAGAATAATACGGACAGAAAATCTGTATCCGTATCGTTTTACTCAGGATTTTCCAGCAAGGCTCCGATTTAGTCAGTTTATGATGGGGCGGCATTTAGACGATCCAATGTTTTATAATAAAATGTTATTTACCGATGAAGCCACATTTACTAGAAGGGGTGTATTTAACTGGCGCAATAGCCATACCTACGCGACAGAAAATCCTCATGCATTTCAAGAACATCATTTTCAACACGAGTTTTCCATAAATATCTGGTGTGGCATATTTCGGGATTGTATTGTAGGACCATTCGAATTACCAACTAGGCTGGACGGAGTAACGTATCTAAATTTTTTGAGAAAAGATTTACCAACTCTTTTAGAAGACATACCTCTAAATTTGAGACGGAACTCTTGGTGCATGCATGATGGTGCACCACCACATTGTAGCCTAGAAGTTAGAAATTATCTAGATGAAATTTATCCTCAAAGGTGGATTGGTAGAGGTAGTGTATACCCATGGCCAGCACGTAGTCCCGAACTAAATCCCCTAGACATTCACTTGTGGGGCTAAATAAAGTCACTTGTTTATAAAAAAAAATAAATAACCATCAAGAGTTATGGCAAAATATTGTAGAGGGAGTTAACGTAATTAGGGCCCAAAGAAACTCATTATTTAAAATAAGACAAAACTTACACAAAAGATTTAGATTATGTAGTTTATCTAATGGTGCACATTTTGAACACTTATTGTAATTTTTTTTCGTTTCGTTTTGAATTATTCACTTTGTTAATTGTTTTATACTCACTTCATTATTTAATTTCTGATTTTTTTAAAATTTGTTACTGAGTCAAAGGTTTAATAAAAATAATTGTTTCAATCACATGCATTTTGTTTGCAAAAATTATCTACTACTAATACATTTAATATTCACTTTTATTTAAGATCTTTTGAATAATGTCTCTAAAAAATACGTTTATTTCGTAAACGGTGTACTTTTTTGATTTGAAACAAGAATACCTTTTTTGTGTAGAATTGAATGTTATTTCATGTTTTTTTCCTAGAATGTTTATACAGGGCGGGAAAAAAATTATGGCCCCATTAATAAACCAATGTTATAGTAGGTGGCGCCACCTAGCGTCATCGGTAAAACTAATATCATTTTCATATTAAGCATACTAAATAATAGCAAGATACCAAATTTTACTTAAATCGGTTGAATAGTTTTCAATATATCCCTAAAAATAATATAAAAAAATATTAATGAATCACCCTGTAGAACGAAAACTAGCAACATTTTGCCTAAGCAATTTAAGCTCAAACGCTTTATTTTGATGTCAGCTATTACCCATTAGCTAATGTCCAATTAATTATGGGACACCCTGTATAGAAAACTCTAAATTCTACTGAATTTAGACACCAAAAAATATGCAAAAAAATTTGCCACTCCTACCCCGACAGTATTTGATTTAATAAAACAAAAATAAATACAGTAAATTGATTGAATAAAATGAAAAGATGTTTTGATATTTAAAGCAGCCTACTTTTTTGAGTTTGTAGTAAATTTCTTGTGTGACAATACGGATTTTTGATGCTAGATATCACCCCTTTGCAACCATTTCAATTGTTTAAGGAACGCTTTATAGTATAACAATCCATCTAACAACTATAAATATACACGATAATCAACCTTAATATATCACTGGGAAAATTAAAAATTTTCCTAATACCGCTAGGAGTATGATTTGTAAGTCCTGGAATACCTTTTGTGCTTCACTGTGCAGAACAGGATCATCGAGGAGATAAGTCCATAAAGCTAAAACAAAAAAAAAACAAATGAATAAGTTTATGAAATTATTTGTCTGTGACATTAACACATGTGTGACATGTCTTAGTTTAAAGCTCTTATCTATTAGGAGGCATGTAAACAACAAAAATTTTCTTAGCAAATTTATTTTTATATAAAAATATGGATAATTTTGTTAAAATAAGTTGGTATAAAAGATATGCCGCATGTAACATACCTCCTCTGTATTGAGCTGAGTTATATGACATGATTCCAGCTCAGGTTGTCAAAACGAAGAAGATCAATATGGTAATGTTCTTTGACTTGTAATTGTCCTAATGATTATATGGTAATAAGCTGATTATTAGGACTCTTTACAAAGGTCTAGTTGCTCAGAATCGGGACCTTCATTGGGGTGAATAAGGTAGAAAAATAATAGATAAATGACATGATAGATAAACGATCGATAAAAAACAGATAACAATATTGTCTTAAAAATTATTACACAATTTTTAAGTTAGTCCCACAACACTATTTTGTTTGCAGGCAAATGCATTTTCTGCTGCTTCCGAAACCAAAAGATTTGCTTGACAGACGAGGTTTTCTTTCCACGCCAAAGAAAGTCCCTTGTTCAAGATGGCGCCAGGCAAACCTAGGGAAGCAAAATATCTAATCATTCGATGCTTCTTCGGTATATACCCCCTATTTACCAGAAGCCTATTGGGTCGGAATGTACAAAACTCCAACCTGAAAACTGTGGTTAGCATTTAGATGATTATTTAAAACCAGCAGGATTTATTTGCGACCAAAGGCATTTGAAAGTGTAAGACATTCTCGAAATGACGGAAGATGATAGGGAATGTAGCGAAGGCAATAATGAAAATTTTAGTTCCGATGAATGAGAAGTAGAATTAAAATCACTAATTGGAATCCAGTTTTACAAATGTAATATTTATATTTAGGTTTAGAATAATAATTTTTATCCATTAAACGGATCGGTGAATATTAATTTTAATGTTTGTATTTTGAGAACGATTCCAGAAGTGGAAATTGAAATGCCAATAAACTTATGTTACCCTTCAATTGTGGCGTATTCCCATTAAAATTGATCTAAAAGTAAGTTGTGGACCTGATAATACATCCCCTTTGTTCATATTTAATTGTAGATTTATTCTGAGTTATATTTTACAAAAAATATTTACTCTATCATTGAGCTCAGGTGTCTTTCCAGAGATATGGAAGAAAAGTTATATTACTCCTGCCCATAATGGTGGTAATAGAGGAAATATTGAAAACTACCGAGCTATATCTAAAATTTCAGTTTTCGCTAAATCTTTTGAAGGGATTGTAGCTGCAAAACTTGGTCCATTATTGAATCCTACTTTAATGCCCGACCAACATGGTTTTATTCCAGGACGTTTTACTACTACCAATTTTTTAGTTTTGCAATAATTTTTGTTGGATGCTCTTGAAGGGTATGAATAGGTTGACGTCATTTATACCGACTTTTTGAAGGCATTTGATAGAGTTAATTATACTGTTCTAATCTCTAAACTTTAAAACGTTGGTTTACATGGAAGATTATTGGTTGGATGGACAGCTATCTCAGAGATAGAACTCAAGTTGTAAAATTAACCAATTTTTGTCATCTATTACCAATGTAACCTCTGGTTTTCCATAGGGTGGACATTTATCTCCTTTGGTTTTTAATTGTTTTGTAAACGATACAAAAAATTGTTTTTAGCATAGTAATATTCTTCTGTATGTTGATGATCTAAAAATTTATAGTCATAAAAAATTCCAATGACTGTAGTTTATTACATAATGATTTAAGTAGTTTATTGCATTGGTGTAGCTCCTTCTTCTTCTTCTTCGTCTAGACATTCACGTCCACATCTGAACATAAGCCTCTTCAAGTCTTCCTTTCCATTGTTTTTTATTGTACGCTACTTGTAGCCAATTTTTCCCGGCAGTCCTTTTCAGATCATCTGTCCATCTCATAGGAGGTCTGCCTCTGGATCTTTTGTGTTGGTATGGTCTCCAGGTTAAAATTGATCTGTGCCATTTGTTTAGATCGCTCCTAGCTACATGTCCAGCGTATTCCCATTTCAACTTTAATGACTTTTGCACTACATCGGTGACTTTGGTTTTCTGTCTTATCCATGTGTTTGTTTTCTTGTCCTTAAGTGATATACCTAGCATTGCTCTTTCCATCGCGTGTTGAGTGACTCTAAGTATATTCATATTCTTTTTTGTGATTGTCCATGTTTGTGCCGCATAAGTTAATATCGGAATAATGCACGCATCAAAAACTTTAGATTGAAGATGTAATTGAATTTGTTGATTTCTGAGTATATGGTTCAGTTTACCGAATGCTGCCCAAGCTAACTTTCTTCTTCTTTTTATTTCTTCAGTTTGAATTTCCCTATTTAGTATTATTTTTTGTCCTAAGTATATATATTCTTCAACATTTTCTATAACTTTATCGTTTATTATTGTCACGGTGTCTTCGGAGTGCATGACTTTTGTTTTGTTTAAATTCATTTTCAGTCCTATTTTAGAAGATTGGGTATGTAGTTCTAAAAGCATGGTTTGCATTTCTCGTAGGTCAGTAGCTATCAGGATTATGTCATCTGCAAATCGTAGATTACTGAGGTAGCGGCCATTGATGTTTATTCCCTTATATTTCCAATTTAGGTTTTTAAAAACGTCCTCCAAAACTAAGATGAACAGTTTGGGTGATAAAGTATCTCCCTGTTTGACTCCCCTGTTTAATGGTGTAACTTAATGATTCGAATTTGAACATAAATAAATGTAAGGTAATGCGATTTTTTAGAAACAAACATCCGATTTCATTTGAATACTATAATTAACCGAATATTTTAGAGGTAATCACAATATTTAAGGATCTTAGGGTAATTTTTGAGCCTACAGCAAGCTTCAGGGGCCACTTTTCTTACGTTTCTAATAGATCCATGAAACTTTTTGGTTTAGGTTTCATGAAACGTAGCATTTCTAAATTTGATAATATTTATTTCAAAAATATCTATTGTTTCAAAAAAATCTACTGTTTCCTTATTAGATCGGTTTTGAAATACGGTAGCAATATTTGGTCTCCTCATTATAAATGCTACAAAGATCTATTAGAAAGAGTACAGAAAAAGTTCTCAAGATTTATTGCTTAATAAATAATTAATAAATATTGCTCAATATTGAGAATACCTGTAAATGAAGTTTAATACACTGTTCTGCAAACTTTACTTAAATTGCCTACTCTTGAAGAAAGGCGAATGTTGCTAGATTTAGCCTTTATATATAAATTAATACGAGGAGGCATTGATGCTAGTGCTCTTTTGAAAAAAGTTTACTTCCGTACCAGGGGCCGCTGGTCCTATGAGGCAGGTGAGGCAGTGCCTCACCAGTATCAATCGACTATTTACGTTCTTTAATTACAATTTAACTTTTTGGAATTTTTTAAATAACTTTATTTTCATTATGATAAAAAATTAAAATATGTACACCCCTGATGTCTTATCTTTGTATATTTCTTCATAATCTACGGGCCGGACAAGGGACAAGCTTAAACCACAAAATATTAAATAAACAACGGCTCCATTCTCCGCGCCAGCAGCTAAATAGTATATCATCTGTGCATCTCATTCTCTCTTTAAAAATTATAGCCGAGGCAAGCCCCACGGCATTGCTCTGTCTGGCATATTAGACATCATATTATGTAGCGAAATTCAACATGATTTATTTATTTTCTGCCCACTATTTCACCGAACAGGAGAGGCATGCCGCTCTCGTTTGGTGTAGTTCTTTTAATTAGCAGCGTTGCCGTTTGGGTACAAAGGTACCCAATTCGCTACATTTTTTCCCTCGGGGTATAAAAGTACATTTTAAATAAAACATAGATTTTTATTTGAAAATTGTAACAACATTGGAGTATTTTCCTTTAGTAGATGGTACTATACATATTGTTCTATTGTTTTCCGATTTAACAAAAAATATTTTTTTTCTATGCATTTACCAGATTGGCAACATTGGTACATTTTGGAACATTTCTGCAAAATTGTTGTAGTAAGTAGTAGTTAAATTACTTCCTGTTGACCTGTTGGTGCGGCAGGATCACGTTTGACATATCTCGTGTTGTTTTTCATTAAAAAAACAGTAAGATTACATGTTATATAATAAGTGCAATTCTAATTAAGTTTTTTTAATAATTTTAAATATTTTTAAAATATCGCCACAGCACTAGACAATTCGCGTAAAATAGATATTCAAAATTTCAATGCTAGGGTTAAAGAAAATCGGCAAATTTTAAAAAGCCTTATAGATATTACGTTACACCTCTGTATGCAAGAGTTACCGTTTAGGGGGCATGATGAATCTAATGAATCTTTAAATCGCGGGAATTTCAAAGAGCTAGTTGTTCTTGTTAGTAAATTTGACACTAATTTAAAAACATTTTTAGAACATGATAATGACTCTAGATCAGTTTTTTCTGGGACATCTAAAACCATACAAAATGAATTAATCGATTCAATTGCTTTTGTTATAAATAAAAAAATTGAGGAAGAAATTTCAAAATCATTATTCTTTTCCTGGCAGGTGGATGAGACTACTGATATAAGCTGCCATTCACAACTATCCGTTATTTTTCATTACGTAATAAACGATAAACCAGTCGAACGATTCATGAGATTTTACGATGTAAGTTCCGGGCGTTCTGCTCAAGATTTATTTGAATTTTTATCTACCAAATTTGATCGTGAAGAAGATGGCACTAGATTAGCAGTCGCCATTTATAACACTTACTAACAAATCTCCCAGATAAAAAATACCTACTAACCCCCAAAAAAATATAAAAATCCCAAACAAATTAATAAAAAATATAAAAATTCAAAAAAAAAATATAAAATAATAAAAAATTCACAAAAAAATTATAAAAATAAAAAAAGGCCACGGGAGAGACCACCTAGATCCTTGAGGCTACAACTTGGCCGCTAATCAAGGTGCAGGCTCGAGGATTACAGCTCCCTCGTTTTTCGTTCGCTTTTATCTCACGATACGAGATTTCATGATAAACGGGAGTAAGTCGCTTAACGACACCTTGGGTATGATTTAAGTTACATTTATGAGCACTCTATTACACATGGTGCTCATAAATACAGCTCAATCGCGGACTTTTTCAAAAAGCAGTCAGCCCTTATGTTGCACCTTCAGTGCACATAAGGGAGGGTGGAGGAGGGCTTAGGAGAGCTTTGAGGTGAGGATGACTTTTGTTGATCCGCGCGCGTATTGTCAGAAGTCCTTCTCACGCCAAGTCATTGTTTGCTGGCGCGAGCAATGCCTCCTTAGCCGGGTATGACTGGAGCAAAGAGAAGCTAACCATAATAATAATAATTTTCCTTAAGTGTAGTGTGCCTCACCATCTTGTACTATCACGAGCCGCCCCTGTTCCGTACTCCCTGTAGAAAACCAGATCCCAAGACTTATTTTATTTAGAACATCATAATCTAACTTATACTGTAAATAAACCCTTACAGAGAATGTGTAGAAATGTAAATAAATTTAATAGTAATGATTTTTTTTTCATTTATCACTAAGTATGTACTATTACGAATAAGATAGAAAATACCTTTTTATCTAATCACATTGTGTTTTAATAGTTTAAGCAAAATTTAAGTTGATGTCATGAAAAATGGCAAGTCCGAAATAAACATTACATTACATTACAAAATAGTAATTACTTTAAGATTTAATTGTTTCATCTCCCCTAAGGGGAGTCCCCTTTACAATAATATGAGATATGCTTGAATTATAAAAAACGGACTCTCTGCAAGATATGCCGGGAGAAAATTTAATGGATTCTCCAAGATCTCGTGGGTATGGAAATTAGGAAGAATTTACAGTGTGAGAAGACTATGCTGCATCATTGTCAAGGTCGACAAGTTAATAGAACGCTGGATATATTTACAGAAAATTATTTCATTATAAGGAAATAATTTGAAAACAGTAATTGACAAAAATGTCATTAGTGTCATTATAGCTAATAGGTTACATTTATTTTCCTCGTTATCAATTACACAATGTTTAATGTAATTGCGTAATTTATTAAAGATATTTATTTGTTGTGAATTTGTAATAAAAAACGTTTTATATAAATTCCATCAAAATATTAATAAAAAAATAAAAAATTGAGACAAAATAGAAAAATTAATAGCTTAATTGCTTTTCCAACTTTTTCTGTTATTTTCCAACTTTCAAAAATATGGATGTGTGGCTATTTGTTCAAAGAGAAAACTTCATCTCTTGCTCAGAAAACGCACGGACCATAAAGGGATGTTCACACGGTAACAACTTTTCTGGACAGAAGATCATCGGTACCGTCTTAATTAGAAGTTACTCGGAGAAAAACAGCTCGGACCGTGCAAGTTCGGAACAGCGACACCTGGTGTCGTAAATCAGCCAAATTTACTGCGCTTTCATGTTAGATCGAGGTTACCGGATAACTGTCAAGGACGTGGCCTCAAAAAAGAATAAGAAAAAAAAGTAAGATTGAGGTTATGTCGGTATGTTATTAAAAGGTAAACGTTGATGTAGCGTAAATACAAATAAATATATTATGGAATTACAGCATTACTGTTAATATGGATGCAATAATAAAAACTGGATTTGAGAAAGTAAATCACCAAATAACTTTTCAACCAAGCACGAGTCAAAGGGAAAAGCTTTAGTAGTGGCAAATGTCAAAAAAGAATGGAAGAATCATGTGGAGTGGAAGAATTAAGAAAAATAAATTACCATAAATAATGCTAATGCATAAATTGCAGGTTAAGCCCATGATATCATCATATTGGTTTGAACAATTAATTCTTTCCCTGTAAACTTTTGGACAGCGAATATATCTTAATGCATCTTCAGAAAAACTTGAACTTGCATTTTTGTAAACTTCAAAAAAATAAAATTCCAACATTAAACTTGATTTTTGAGTTAAAATGAACTCTAAATGAGTGTTATGAAACTAAAATTTACACTTAAAAGTGAACTTTTATTTATTATTTACCTATTTCAAACTGACTTTAAAATCGGGTGCAAGAATAATGCATAGTTTAGGTTATGTTACTTATGCTTTTTTATGATATAAATCCACTTTTCTCTTTGTAGTAGCTTTGTGCTTCGAAGTTGGAAACGAATAAAACTTAAGTTGACAATTTTTTGTTGTATTTTTACAATTTATAACACAGCATTTCCTATATCCCATTTTCTTCAGTGACCAGAAGGTGTAAATAAACAAAACGAATATGAAATATGACAATTGACAATATGAATTTATGAAATCTATAATCTATGAAATGTACAGTAAAAAATGCAAGATTTCTCCACTACTCGCGCACGATCGTTTCTCGTATCCCCTCCAAGTACTTGCACGTCGCCAATAGGAAATACAAACAGGTAGTGATCTATGACTATCGTTAAAACATCATTTCGAGGAAAACGGATTTTTAATCTATTTTAACTGTTAACAATAAAATGTAAATGTTGTCGAATATTGCCATAATAATGACTGACAGATAAAGGTACATCACGCGCTTATCACAGTCAATTAGAATATTGCAGTTTTTTAGAGGTAACATTTAAATAAGGTACTTACTTGGAAAAATGCTATAACAATCCCAACAAATCCAATAATATCCAGTCTTCTTATAAAAAAGTTATTAATTTGGGCATAACAGCCTTGAGTATAGATATCCACGTCTCTGATTTTACCGCAATTTACATCGTAGCTCGCAGGAAGGCAGCAGGAGTCTGGAACCCATTTCTCGTTTGGCCATGCTTCTATCATGTACCAGTCCTCGTAGCTTTTGACACCACAGCAACCAAACTGAAAATAAAATGACATTGAATAGTATATTTAAAGTATTATTAATAGTAGTTAATACAAAGAAAACCTCATGACACAGAAAATGATTGAGATATCCACAGTTCCTTCTAGAAATCGTGAGGAAATCCAATTAACCTTGAAATCTCAGATAAAGATCAAACGACAGAAACTTAAGTTTCTAGTAAAGAAGATGAGACAAAAGAAATGGCAAGTGAAAAAAAGTTACTGATCAAGACGAAAATAAGGCTTATCATAAAATATATGATAAAGATGACAGTAAAATATTGGTGTGCACATGCTTGTGCAAACAGAGAATAAAAATTTCGATGAAGTAGAAGATAAAGAAGATCAAATAAAAAATGAAAATCCAGTAAGTGTGGAAGATACGGAAAATAGAACTTAGGATGAAGAAATAAACAACAGCCGATGGAGTAAATACCGCTGATGAAGAAACTACAGCTGATGAGGTGCATACAACAGATGACAGCTTGCAACTGGATGGATGAGAATACTGAAAGATAGGAAAAAGCTAGTCAGGATATTGTTACGATAAATATTATGACTCATAACTGTAAACATATTCTTTTTAATTCTATTCTGTTCTAGTGAGTTCGCCGCCCTTCTTAAAGAACCGGTCTGTTGTGGGATTCTTTCCAAACGTCCCCTCGTCTAAAAGGAACATTATATCGTGACCTTCCAGCTTTTTCGCCAAGGGTCAGGAAGGTTCATATCCCTCGACCTTATTCTAGATTAACGGTGCTTTATATATAAAGACGAAATTTTATTGAAGACAGTTTTTAGTTTTAAATTTCGAGTCGAGTTTTTTGTCGGGAATGTATATTGTAATGTAAATAAATTATATAATTAAAGTGTGAAAATAAATTAGTATATGGACTTTAATAAGCTTGTAAGTGTTATATATCGAACCTTTGATAATAAATAAAAACAATAAATTAGAAAATATAAAGACTTTACATTGGTGTTCAGAAATGAAATTGTGAAAATTACTACGATTTATGAGCTCACAGTTACGGATTTAAGAAGACATCTTGAGGACAGAGAATTAGCTTCTACCGGAAAAAAGGCTGATTTAGTCTAACTACTAAAGAACGCTTTAAAAGAAGAGGGTTTGGATCCGGAAACTTATATATTTGAAGACAAACATGCTGCTGTCATCTCGTCGACTGCCAAAGTTTCCGGCGATATTTCGAAAATTTTCGGCGACATCACATCATTAGAGAACAAAGTTTCGGACGACATAGCATCATTAGAGAACAAAGTTTCCGGCGACACCGCATCATTAGATAACAAAGTTTCCGGCGACATCGCTTCTTTAGAAGACAAAGTTTCTAACGAGATTTCTTCTCGTTAGAAACCAAGTTGCTGCCGATATGTTGGCCTTCGAAGAAAAGATATGGAAAGAGATGGAAAAGAAGCTGGAGGAAACAGGGGCAGCAAAGAGAGGAAACAATCCAATTACAGCGGAGACAAAAGAAGACGAGACGAAATGTAAGTTGGAAACATGGCCACATTTGAAGGAAGTGGAGGTTCTGTTCATGTCAAAGGCCCAACTTTCGACGGAAAATCGTCATGGAATAACTACATGACACAGTTCGAATCAGCTGCAAGAGCGAATGGATGGTCTGAAAAAGAAATGGCTGTAAACCTGACTATCCCTCTTCGAGGAGACGCCTTAGATGTACTTCAGACCATAGCCGTAGATGATGACGGATGATTTCGAACAACTTAAGAAGAGGTTAAACATGCGATATGGCCACGAACACTTGGAACATGTATATTAGTCGCAGCTTAAAAATCGAAGACAAAAGAACGATGAGGCTCTTCAAGAATATGAGGTAGATATTGCCAGATTAGTACGATATGCTTATCCAACAGCTCCCGAAGACATGATGGAAAAGTTGGCCGTTCAAACATTGTCGGTCTTCGTGATCATGAAATGCAGAGAACACTGCGATTAGCTCGTCACAAGACGCTGGTTGATGTCTTATCCGCCGCCCTCGAATACGAGTCAGCTACGAAGGCCTCTAGCGGGTATAGTAAAATTTGAACTGTAAAAGAGGAAGGAGATGAAGATAAACTTGACCAGCTCGTTAATATGATGAAAAGCATGACATACAAGAAAACGAAGACCATAAGATGCTGGAATTGTGGCGAAATAGGACACGTACGAAGTTCATGTAAGCATCCTAGGTACGACACAAATCAAGAAACTCACCATCAGGAAAACTAGAAAGGGTCCGCCTTAGGGGGGCAGCTTCGGCTCAGAACTTTTCCAAAGACTCTCTCACACTAATAGCTTCTTTGAAATGTCGTGAAGATAGTGTATATGTAGATGGAGAAATAAATGTTAAAAAGCATACGTTGTTAGTGGATACCGGAACGACCAGAACCATTATACACCCGACAGTTATAAACAGCCGTAAGAAACTGTTACCAACGAGGTTGCGACTTCGGACCGCTACGAGTGAAAATGCCAACATTCATGGAGAAATCCAGATACAATTAGGAATTGGAGCAGAAAAGTTCGTCCATACTGTTATAGTTGCTGGCATCGAAGAGGATGTTATATTAGGAATGAAGACTTTACAATATATCAATAGAGCAAAATGGCGAGAATATAGAAGAAGATCTAAGTTAATACATCGAAGACAATTTTATACAACTTTTATACAATTATTTTATGTTTTATTTTTTGTAGATTAGAGTAAATTACTTTTGTTGACTTTTGTACAAATTATGTTGCACAGTTAGGTCAGTTAGTGAATATTGTGAATATTGGTCGTTGAACTTCTAGCAATGCCCGAAAATATTCGGAAATTGATGGAGTAATACCATTTTCTATACAATATTCTCGACATAAATAAAAATTAAAATACTAAATACGATATTTTTAGTTTCTTTTTTAAATTTCAATTTATAGTAACTGCATTTATGAAACATTAATGATTTTGTAGGCTACACCATGATACTATGACTATAAGATAAGATATTGCGCATGTTTTTGTGACGTCATTGGAGACTTGCACGTTCGAAATGTCAGTTTTTGTATATATCAATAAATAATCTTTAATAAATAGTTTGGAGATATCCTTATGTGTACGATTATTGTAATTATTAAACCTCTTAACTTATTTTCGTCTAGTAATTTCATCACAGAATGCATACAAATCTCATTTAACTTTAACAAGAATTCAAATTCTAGTCTCCAATGACGGCATGCGCGAACCCGACCGGTTTTGAGCTACGGGAAGATCCTATCTTGTTATTCATAGTATCATGGGCTACACTACGCAATTTCATGAAACATATTTTGCTGGTGCGTAGAAAATTAAGACAAATCACTAAAATTTACGATTTTCTATTTATAGTTTTCTAGATATATCATTTTATTATTGCTCCAGTAGCACAAATCATACAGATCGTGCGAGACAAAATAGATTACAAAATTTACAATCATTACCACAAAAAATATTGTTCATAATATAACTTTTGATAAGACTTAATGATTTATTTATGTTTTAATTTCTAAATATGAATATATACACGATAATATTTTTTAATTAAATAAAAATTAATGATTTTAAAAATATTGTAACAAGCGAAAAATACTGATTAAAAAATAAAATAAAAAATCAGAGATATTGCAATGAATCCCATGAATCATATTATTCATAATGTATCAAATTCACTATCAAGAAAACTAAGATAATTATTTTTTCTTAAGATTTGGTAGCAAAGTAAACAGTAATAATGCTAAAATTGTAAAGGTGCCAAATTCACTATCAAGAAAACTAAGATAATTATTTTTTCTTAAGATTTGGTAGCAAAGTAAACAGTAATAATGCTAAAATTGTAAAGGTGCCCAATGCAAGGTTCACGTAAGAAATATACCTATTTACTAGATACTGTTCTGTTACTAGTTTTGTTCGCGGAAAGAGTCCCTGGCTAGTTTTCGACAAGTTTCGGACCAGTTGTGCGCTGGCGCCATTAGTTATTAGTTTCCAACTTTAAATTCTCCGTGAACGATTTTCGGACATTTCTAACTGTTTCTAACCTCAAAACAGACCAAACTTTTCTTAACCCTTAACAGGAAAGGCAACATTCTGAAAACAAATGAAAAAGCATTGAAAAGGTCTGATTTCTCAGATGATAATCCACATATATCTTTGTCATTTTATTGTAAGGTACTAATATTTAACAAAAATTAACCTTATTCAACGTTCTAAATGTGGCAAATATCATATCCATCGTTAAAATGTCTTTAATTTGTCAAAAAACACAGTAAACTGCAACTAACTGTATTGGGTAAACAAAATTTGAAACATTTTAAAAGATTGTTAAAAATTGTATAAAAAAAAAACTAAAAATTAAACAAAGTTTTTGAGTAGAACATAACTGTTGAATAAAAAAAAAGGCAACTACATATAAAATACTAAAAAAACATTAAGATTATGGTCTGCAATAATCACCGACTTTCCTTATGTTCATGTTTTCTCGTTTATTACAGGAATTTTCGTTATTGTTATGTTTTCTTTTACGAGATCACTGTACGAGACGAAGACAAACAAAAAACTAAAGGGCAAAGGGCGTGCGAAAAATCCACACTCTGCTCTAATTCACAATGGACCCGTTTCTGACTGATCATGAACCAGTCAGAATCAGAAAAACTCCGCGAACATCAAACTTTCTGTCAAAGTCCCGAATTTTTAACACCGCGAACGCTCAAAACGCAATTGCGCATGCGCATGATACTATGACTAACAAGATAGGATCTTCCCGTAGCCAAAATCGGTCGTGTTGGCGCATGCCGTCATTGGAGAGTAGAATTTGAATTCTTGTTAAAGTTAAATGGGATTTATATGCGTTCTGTGATGAAATTACTAGACGAAAATAAGTTAAGAGGTTTAATAATTACAACTGTTTACAGCAGTAAACACACAGTTTGCTGCTGGAATTATTTTTGACTGTTTCTAGCTTGTTTGGGTCGGCTGATCCAAAAATGTCTCCAGATTTGCTTCATCAGATCGTTTTCAGAAAATACGACAACAGATCACATTTCTAACATATAGGGTAATTTAACGCAGCACTACCCACATATGTAGTGCTGCTACCCATCAAATAAACAAAACACGAATAAAAAGTAAGATATTTATTGTACAACAATATTAATTATCAAAATCATCACACATATCTGTCAAAAAAAACTTTCATCTAATCTAACCAGCATCCCAGTATAAATCTGTTATTCGACGTCACCTAAAAACTTCGTTTTATAGTATAACCGTGTTTGTTAAAATTGTTGAGCATTTCTTCCATTATATCCCGACAATTTTCTGATTTATTGTTTCCAAGAAAATTTTTAAACAACTTTCACAAAAGACCACCATGAGTTGCATTCAATTTCATTCATCGATTATGTAAACTGCAAATCTTCTATAAGTTGTACCTGAGAGCAATAAAATATTCCGGCTTTCAATTTTTCTTTACTAAGTACAGGAAATTTACTAGACAAGTATTCAAAACAAGGACGATTCTGATCTAGGGCCCTTACAAATTATTTTATCAGCCCTAGTTTAATAACGGAGGTAATATTATTTACTTTTGGTCGAAAAATGCTTCGTTAACTACATCAGCTTCTCATTGAAATAAAGCATCTCTAGAACCCCATTTTCTTTTACCCCAGTGTTGGTCCTTAGCCCTGCTATTCCAACGATACAGGAAACAAGGAAATTTTGTATAGCCACATTATTGTCCCAGGAGAAAGTTCACCAACTTAAAATCAACACAAATCACCCACTGATATTGGTCATACTTGATGTTTTTTAGCACCAGCGATATTGTTTTATATTCTTCTTTCATTTTTGTAGAATGCCCAATTAGTATACTCCCATATTTGTTGCCATTATGCACTTTAAACTTTGTTTGGTACTGTCGATAAAAAGACGCCAGTGATCTGGTGTATACTACGATACACCTATTTTTTAAAAGTCCTCTAATATTGTTACAAAAATCCATATCATTTTGCTGAGAACAAAAGGCAAAACATATTTTTCTCTATTACGGTAGTATATAATTTGGGGTCTGGGTGAAGAAGATTCTTTTCCTTCAGTCTGGAGGCAAGCAACTGAAGAATCCTTTGGAAGGTTCAAATCTCTGATAAGATCGATTCGCTTTTCCTGAGTAAAGCGCTCAGGACATGTTGAACCCCCTTCAAAATCACTGTTATCTTCCTCGAATCTATTTGTCTGTCGTTCATCAGATAACGTTTTGACATTATTCTCTGGCAACTTAGGTAGACTGTTAAATATTTGAATGCGTATCTGCTCAAGCTGATGTGGAATTGGCCTTATTGCTGAATGCAGGTTAGGATATGTCCACGTATGTCGATTGTTACGATTAATGCCCTTTATATGTTTACAACATACTTTATATTTGGAACACCAAATTTTAAACATTTTCGATGTCCTATAAATAATGTCGATTTCGTAATCGACAAATCTGAATGTAATCGATGTAAATCGAAGTCCGATAAATGTTATAATACACAATTTAACCGTATGGTTATATGTACCGATAAAAGGATTCCCCAAACCGACGGGAAATTTTCGCAGCCGTAACCTACGCGGAATCGCGGCGAATCGTATGGCATGACGGCTTATACAGGTGTTCAGACAAGTTGGTTTTTTCCGCTGCAGTTATAGTTTCGCGTGAATTAAAATGGCTGTTACAGAAAAACTAATTGAAATTGTGAAACAATATCCTATACTTTATGATTTAAGGGACGAAGATTATAAAAATATAAGAAAAAAGTTTCATTGGAGTTTCAACAAGAACAAGAAGCAGCTGACTTTTGCACTTCCAATTCAAATACTAGATGTTCTTCTCGGAGCAATACACAGTTAACACCAATACTTTCCCCTATATGTGTTGATACTAACAATACTGAATGTGTCCCGTATCAAGTTATTGCTTCTGGAGCTACCTGTTTTCTTTTAGTTTCGGCAAGTGCCAATAGTAAAAGAGCTTCTTCTTCATCAGACGAAGTCATTGTATTTGTAAATTACGAATAAACGACTAAACATATAATTTGTTCACATTTGTATGGCGAATAGTCGCGTCGGGTTTCGCGCCAATGTGGGGAAGCCTTGTCCGCTACCGCTCCGCCTGCGAATGTTCCGCAACGGAAAATTCGCGTCTCAAAAGTTTCGCGTCGGTGTGGGAAATCCAAAAGGGTTACCTAAAATAGAAGTAGGTATAGAGTACCAACTGGAGTGGGATTTAAATAGTTCATGCAGTAAGGTTTATATCTAATTGAATGAAAATGCGATAATTAATACGATAGATCGATCAATAAAAGGCATTTAATACGTATTTCGCTTTATTGAATCCACTTTATGTTGTAGATTATGTAAGATTAGGTTAATAATTATTTCTTACTTGTGTCTGAATGTTATCCCATATTTGTACTAAACTGTTTGGTCCATGCAATGAGACGTTGTAGTGGTGGTAGATACCATTTTGTAATTCTTCGCTGAGCGTGTGTTTCAAGCTCTCTCTAAAAATGAAGGCCACGGATCCAAAAACGAACTCCACCAGGAATATGAAGACCACCAGACAAAAATACTAAAATAAAAATGATATGCATTAATATATTATTATCAAAATGGGAATTTTTTAAAATGCAATGAATATTTTATATAAACTAAATGTTATAAAAATTTAAGATAAACGACTTATAGTCCAAGCTGTGGATAAAAAATGGTTTTTTTATGCATACAACTTTTATGTTTTAATTGGAATACAACTTTTTGATATATATCCACAAGAAATAGTCTGATAAAAATTATACAGATACTTCGTATAGAAATTGTACGGCATATCTACTGTTTTGATTTTGTCATACGACCAAGCGGACTTTGTAATGATAAGCGTATAGTTGGTTGCCTACATTAAGTGAGTTTATCTTTTCGACTCATCTCCACGCTGTTTAACAATTTGAGTGCAGAATAATAAAATTGTTCAAAATTATTTATGACTTAACATCTCAGCAGTTACGTTTGGAGGAAAAAATAGAGGATGAAAGATATTTAAAGATAATATTTTCTAAGCTGCTGTACGCCATCAAATATACAAAATGCTTTAAAAAATGAATCATATATATTTAATTCATTAGAAACTCAACGGTGAAGGAGGAACGCAATATATTATCACTTGTATTGTCCCTAAAAGTACATGAATAAAATTATCTATGGCTTGTTTCCTTCTTTATACCTTTTTTCTCACAACCTAGGTTTAGGTTTTTAATATAAATCCTATTTATAATTAAGACTGTCCTTCTTGGTAATGGCATAAATATTTTCCTTTTAGTATTCTCTACAAAAATATCTTTACTGTTTAATTCTTTGGTGATTTTCTGCTTCTTATAAAACTTTGCTTAGGATCTTATAAGAAATATGTAATATATTTTATAAATTGTGTAAAAGAACCCTTTTGCTAGCTTAATTTGGTTTTTTTATCCCTACACAGATTTTGTATAATATCCACGCATTGATTATCAAGTTCAATTGTGCAACGGACTCTGCCTATTGATGAGCTAGCATAGTCTAGTAGAAGTTTGTAATAATTTACTCTATGCTTTGCTTGTGCTACATCAACGAAGCCGTATTAGTGAGCCACAGGTTATCCTTTAACATTAATCTTCTAGGTAGCTCCTGATTAGCCTACATGCGAGAATATCTGGCAGCTCCAGTGGGGACCATGCGAGAACGTTTGGTGTCAAAATTCGCAAGGTGGTCGATCGTCTCGATCCTGGTTATTCATGACTGTTAAAGTATAACATGCATAACAAATATAAATTCTTGGGCTTCTAAGCTCTTTGGTCTATAAGACACAGGCGCACCAGATTATTTTCAACCATTGTTTCGACTTGAAATATTGTAATAATGCTTCCGAAGGTCATTAATAAACCGCCATTCCGTCTTTCTATGTGCACTCTAGCTCTTTCTCACAGGTTACACACATGTTTTCTAATTCTACTATATTGACGATAAAAAAAACTCCAGCAAAGAAATAATGAATTGAGCCATACGCGTAATCTTTTAAGTTATCTTGTAATTTAGCTGTCCCTATGAATTTTATTAAGAATTGGGACTGTAGCGGAGAATTTATTTTTTATTTAATGTATGGCATATTAAGACGACATAATAAAAAGCAATATTTTTTATAAAAAAACGTTAAATGGAGTATTACAAACGAACATCTGATATATCAATATAATCTAAAACATTTTCGGTCACATTCAGGAAGTCCATTCTCTTGGGTTTTATTGAAATTCTGTCAATATATTACCCTCCTTATCTCTTAACTTCTTTTGTCTAAATTCTATTTTGCTTTTATTCAGTTTCTGGTAAAATTTTCTCGCCTCGATTTTTTTCTTCCATACATAGATATTTATATTCCTCCTCTGCTTGTCGGGTTCTGTACCCATGTTGCATCAGTAAATATGCTCTGTTTTTTCTTTCTGTTCTAATCTGACATTTCTTTCAAAACAGTCATTCATTCTTGTTCTTTTTTGTTTACCTTCCATGGCTAATAATTCTTCAGCTGCTTCTTTCATGATGTTTCTGCACTCTTCCTACTCTTCATTCTTCCTACTCTATTTCCTTTTTTAAATGTTTAAAATGCTACCCTTACTCTACTTTCGACCCAGTAGTGATCAGAAACCGCATTTGCTCCTCTTTTGGTGTGGACGTTTATTATATTCGATTGGTGTCTTGAGTCCACAATAGCATGATCAATCATATTTACTATAAGTCCGTCTGATGATTTCCAGGTGCCTTTGTGTATATCTTCTCGAGCGAAGTTAAAATTTGCTGATTCAGCTGTTGATTCATCTCTTGTGTCTTTATTTTGCTGTGTAAACACATTTCGACATGAATTAGAACATGTATTCTTTCCGTTATTACATAGACGTCTCGATTATTTGTCACTCAAGAGAATTAAACTTTTATTAGAAATAAACTTTGAATCGTGATAATTGTGTTTCATTCTGTTTACTACCATAAACACAATATGTAGAATCGATTGCGGGGAGTATTGTATTAGTAACAATATGATTCATGTCATACATGACTCGATGTATAACTTCTTCCTTACAAATAATCACGTTTTGGCATGTTTTTAGAAGACATTATGTACATAGAGACCAAACAAGCATGTGCAGTTGCTAGTACTCTTTCTATTGACAGACTAAATATTTGAATATCCTTCTAAAATAAAAAGAATAAGTAATTTGAGTATTTTACATATTGAGGTATATAGTCGACTTCCGGTCATTCGCTTAGTCGACACATTATTAATGTAAATGATCATATTTTGGCAACGGGTAAAGGCAACATATTTTCTTACGCGTCGCTTATGATCGAATTCAAAATTTCCTAGAATTCATGATGGGCACGTGACTTCGGCTATATTTCACCATTTAATGCTCGTGATTTTGGATGACTAATTTCGTTTAATATTTGCCAGATTTATTGACAGATTTTCGTAGTAGATTTGTAGTCCAGATGGTATAACGGCAGAATTGATTAAAAATGGGACATCTTAAATTTAACTTAAAATAGACATAAGGAGAAAACAACTCTTCAGAACTGCTACATACAGAGTAAATTGTGCCGTGATAATCGCAAATCTTCTTAAAGGATAAGGAATACTAAGTAGAAGTAGAAAAAAGTAATTAGAATGGCGACTAGCCTCTCCTGGTATAAACCTGACATATCCATAACCTCAAGACCAAGTTTGTAAAAAAAGAAAACATACACAAAGATATATGCTCACAGAATTAGAGAAGATAGTAAGATTATGTCTCAGAACTTAATGAAATTACAGGCAGGAATTGCTCAAGAACGAAAAACCCCAACTAACTTACTAAAGTCATACGTGATGCTGTTGTCAGCGTTATGAACAATATATGGGAATGTCAGTGTCATATTTCACTTGATACTCCTTGAGGTTAATTGGCTGTTTATAATTGTAAATAATTTTACTTATTATTAAGAAAGTATGTAAAAAAAGAAGGAAATTAAAATATGTAGCTGCACATCTATATACTGATGGAACTCTTATAATTTCACTTTTCTTTTTTAATAAAAGAACGAATGTAACAATACAATTTATAATTTATTGATGTTGTGTTTGGACACTATCCCACAAATTACAGAAACGATTAAAAATATTTTTGTTTGATTTACTATTTATAAATATTACTTGCCTTGTATTTGATGTGATAATTATTATAAATAAACAACTTGGCAAAGTGTCGCCTACACATAAATACCTACAATGTATCTAATGTTTCCTGTGATGTAGCGTACACTATGAGACAAAGAAATGAGATAGAGGTATGAATATTTTTATGTATCTATTGAAAATTTATGGGTTAAAATAGATATTTTTATTCAGCTATGGATTCAGGGTTATTACAGAATCGATGACAATATAAAATATGTGTCCAGTGTCCACTAGGAAGCAATAGCTAGATTGCGCATAAGAGGAAGGAATTTCGTTGATATGTATTTAATTTCAGGAGAAATTAAATAAATCTGAACCTTTTTCATGTTTGTATTAAAAACTGAATAATTGAGGCAAGGACTGAAATAGAAATAAGAGGATAGAATGGCCCTCTCTCCATCTTTGATAAATCCTAAAATAGCAGACAAAGTACAGAGGCTGGCGATTTATGAATTACAAAGAAAAAAACTGGATTAAATAAACTGTAAATAAACTGTATAAAATCGCAAATATGGATGGAAGACTACAAAAAATTATTAACATAAAAACGGAGAGAATGTCTGGAAAATTATGTTATACCATGTTTAGAAGTCTTAGTAAAAAATTTACTAAGATCTAAATTAGAGCTGGAAGGTCAGATAATAGCACAAGTTATGGAGTTTAAATATCTAGTCATCACATTATCTAGCTACAAAAAGCTCAACAGAGCTAGAAGTACTGATATACGACGTAGATACAAGGTATAGAACATCAAGAACCGAGTAACAAATAGAAGAGTAGAATGGAACAATCATATAAATAGAGTAGTAAAGGTGACAAGTGACGGTGCGCAATAGGTAGACGATCAGTAGGAAGACCACGAAAACGATGGAACCACAACTTGTTGGAGGCACATTGAAAAACAGACAGAGCCATGTCTATATAAAAATAAGAAGAAGAAAAATAGGTTTAGATGTAGAAGTGAACCTGTAAATATTAACGGAAAGCGACAAAAGCGGTGAGTAGTATAAAGAATGGTAAAGCTTGTAGTCCAGATGGTATAACGGCAGAATTGATTAAAAATGGGACATCTTAAATTTAACTTAAAATAATCTAACGTATTTTATATCGCTTTCAATCCTGTTCTTACTGACAATCATCATTCCTCTTTTTTTGTATTTAGAACCATTCCATACGTCTGGCAGTACTGCATGTTGCGATTAATCAAAATCTGCAGCCCTTACAAAAGTAATATCACCCTCACAAAATTTAAGAAGCTGTGGTTAATGTCATAGAACACATTACTCAAGTCTGTCAGACTCAGCAGTAACTGTTTTTAAAACACAATATTTGGA